TTTCATTCCCTTCTTGAACATATCCAGCTTCCCAAGTACCATTTATTGAAAAGACTGTCCTTTACCCCATTGCATGGTGTTATAGTCTGGATGCTGAATGTCCATGTTAAGGATTGGTCTCAAGGTGGCAAGTGGGAAGTGGTAACATTTGAGATCTGGAGCCTCATAGCAGGCAGGCCCTTAGGTCTCTGCTGTCCTGCAAGGGGATGCAGGACCCCACTACTTCTCTCTTTCTCTTGCTTATTAGCCACAAAGTGAGCATAAAAGGGTGCTACTGGCTCCCTGTATACCATCTGGCAACCCTACAAAACACCTAAAAGTAATGGGTCTACCTGCTCTTGTACTGGAACCTCTAAAACTATGAGCTCAAATAAATGATTTTTTTCTCATTATAAGTTAATTATCTCAGATTTTTTTTGTGGGGGGGATTATTTTTATTTATTTTATATTTTATTTTATTATTTTATTTTTATTTTTATTTTTATTTTTTTTGCCACAGCTGGCCTGGAACTCATATTGACCAGGCTAGTCTCAATCTCAGAGATCCACCTGCCTCTGCCTCCCAAGTGCTGAGATTAAAGGTGAGTACCATCACGCCCGGCTACCTCACGTATTTTGATAGAATGGCAAAAGCTGACTAACACAAAGGGTCTTGGCACCCTTGCCAAAAATCTTTTGACAATACACATGAGGATTAAGTTCTGGGTCTCTATTTTATGCCAGTGGGGCATCTTTCATTACAGTAGCTTTGCACTAAGTTTTGAAACCAGTAAATATGGGACCTTCACTTTTTTTTTTTATTTGTTAAGATTGTTTTGACTATTTAGGGATCTGTGAGATTTTGTATGAATTTTAAGATGAATTTTTGTGCTTCTCCAAAGAGCATCAGAATTTTGCTAGAGATTACATTTGGACAGTATTAATATTTTAAGTCTTCTAATCAATTAATAGGAAATGACTTTCCATATATTAATGTTTTCTTTAATTTCTTTCAGCAGCATCTTGTATTTTTCGGCATACAAGTCTTTCACAGCCTTGGTTATGAACACTGATTTTGGTGCTATTTTAAATGGACAATGTCTGGATTCTATACTGAGGTCAAGATGCCCTGCAACTTCTGTCTCACCTTCTTGGAAGGCTGCTACTGCCACATAAAACTCACATGCTTGTCTAGAGGTATTATATGGAATCATGGAATTGTAACCGACACTCATTTGGCTGCCAGAAACATGAGGAGATAATTTTAGAGACCATTAGGCTGCCTAGCCAAGCTAGTGGATTCCTACAGTCATCTGAGAAGCCGTAGGAGACACAGAAGAATGACTTAGTGGAACATGACCAAACTGATATTCTACAAAATGGTGAGCAAATAACACACTTATCCAAAGTGGGGCCTGGCGAGATGACTCACTGAGTAAAGTACTTGCCACCAAGCCTGATGACCTGAGTTTAATACCTGGGACCCACATGATGGAAGGAGAGAACTGACTCTCGTAGGTTGTCCACTGCTGTTCACATGTGTGCTGTGGCACTTGAGTGCTCCCCACCCCAAAACACACCCAAATAAATAAAGACATGCAGTATTAAAAAATTTAAAGACATTAAGTTTGGGGATGGTACCGGAGACTTACTGAAACAAAATTAAATTATCCTATTTGCTATTTCTTAACTATGATATTCATTTATTACCTGCAGCTAGCTCAGGTAGCCTCCCAAGAGGCTATTAGGTTTATTCTGAGACAAGGAAGAGTTCTCTGATGTTTAATATTCTACATTATTCATCATGTTCATGAATGATTTACAGCTTGAATGCCAGCATTCTAAATAATTTATAATTCTTTTAAAAAATGGACTGTTTAAATGAAATCTCGGTATAACAAAAGAAATATAGACTTTGTTTATCTAAGTTCTTACTTCATGATATTTAAATTTCTTTTATTCTGCTTTTGTATATTTCGTACATTTCTTAATCAAATTTAGATCCTCCTCGCCCATCCATGCCCCCTCCACCAGACCTCATGTATAGTGCCATACATGTTAAGTCCTATCCAGTCAAGCATTTGTACCCAGATGTCCTTCAATGCAAATTCTTCCACTGGAATAGTCAGCCTATCTAGAGATCGTTGGGATGGGCCTATTCTCCCTCACCTAGTAGTGATCAGTTTTCTATTAGTTCACAGACTAGGGCTGACCTGCTACCCATTTCCCTCGCTACACTCTGGGCCCTTGTCTGACTGAGTTGGCATGGGTCCTTGTGCTCAATGCTACCATTGCCCTAAGTTCACATGTGCAAGCTTCCAGTGGCCAGAAAGTCTCTGCTTCCCTATGTTCATGAATCAACCCTGGCTCTTACAATCTTTCTGCCCCCTCCTCTACAATGGTCTCTGAGTCATGGGTGGGAGAGGTTTAATACAGGAGTACCATCCAGGGACACACACTCTTATTATTTAAAAGTTGGCCATTTGTGGCCTTTTCTGTACATCACACTCTGTTGTATAAGGAGGCTTTACTGGTGAGAGTTGAAGTATGCACTAATTTTCTCTTTACCCTGTATTCCACTATGTTCCATGAGTTTTAGGTATAGAGGTTCCACTGTACATATGTCACCTAGGCCTGGACATTTCTCAGACATATATTCTCTGTGCCTAACCAGTTGTGGGGTTCTGCAGTAGCATCCATCTGTTGCAATAGGAAGCATCTTTAATGAGTGGTATACACTATACTTGTCAGTAGAGGTGGTTTGCTCTGCTGGTCGTTATAGTTATTAGGCTTTAGGACTGGGTTGGACCACTCACTGATTTTTCTCCCTAAACAGGGTGCCCAGTATCCTCCAGAACTACAGTATTTAACTTCTGGGAAAAGGCTTCCAGGTCAGTTCCTCCTCCATGGCTCCAAGTCCTGTGTCTGAAGTATGTCCTGTCTTTAGCAGTGGGATCTTATCTTCCAGTTCTGGGAGATAATCAAGAGCTCTGGCAATAGCCCATGTTCTTTTGGGAGTCTCTTGGACCACTCTCACCAACCACTTGAAGGAATGTCTCTCCTGAATGGCACTGTGTTTCTTGCTATGCAGCCCCCAGGGACACACATACTTAGGGACTAATATTCAGGCACTGTATGTGCATTTCTCAGGGGGTTTTGGAGGCAACACATTTCCTTCTAACTACCCTAGCCCTCCTAAAATCCATTCATCTCAACTTTCCAATTAATGTTTCCAGGTTAATCTGTGAATCACGTTAATATTTATAAGTAATTATTACTTAATTTACTTACAGAGGGGAGATTTATAAATTTTAATATCTCCATATTAAAAAAAAACCTCAAGAAATCAAAATATTTAGGAAAAAAGAACTTAAAATTTAAAATATTTGTGATCCCAGCCTGGTGAGATGGCTCAGTAGAAAAAGATTCTTGCCACCAAGCCCAGCAATCAGAGTTTAATAGCTTGGACCCACATGGCAGAAAGTGAGAACACCCCCATGCTGTTTTCTGACCTCTACATACATATCATGGTGTGTATGTATGTATGTGTGCACACACATAAATGAATAAATGTAATTTTTAAGTCACTGGTTTTAAAAAATTACAATCCCAATTCATCTCTCTGCTTCTTGAGCATCAATGCAATGTGACCAGCTGATTCACACTCCTGTCCTCATGACGTCCCTACCATTACGGACTGTACCCCAAACTGTGAACCAAAATAGCCTCTTCCTTAAGTTGCCTTTTGTTACAGCAAGGAGAAAAGTAGCTAACAGACTATTAACATCTATCTGACAATGATTACACACTTGGGAGGACTTTCAAGTTCCCCTCCCCCTCCTTTGGTTTAAGAATATGTCCCCAGTCAGGGCTGGAGAGATGGCTCAGCAGTTAAGAACACTGGCTGTTCTTGCAAAAGACCTGGGTTTGAATCCCAGCACCCACATGGCAGCTAACAACTGTCTGTAACTCCAGTCCCAGGGGATCTGACAGCCTCTTCTGTCCTCCGTGGGCATTGCATGACACGGGTGCACTTACATACATGCAGGTAATATACTCATTCACATAAAATAAAAATAAATATTTTTAGAAATTACAATCCCAAAGCATTTATCATGGCATCTAAACCAAACAGCTTATTACTACTTAAAATTTTAAGATATGCATCTACCTATACTTTTATTTGCTTATAAGTATTATAAACATATTAATAAATATAAAGGATTATGATTTCATTTGGAAGATAAGTCTCCCTGTAGCCCTAGCTGTCCTGGAACTCACTATGCAGACCAGGTCGGCCTTGAACTCACAGAGATCCGCCTGCCTCTGCCTCCCAAGTGCTGGGATTAAAGGCGTGCACCACCACGCCTGGCTTACTCCAAACCTTTTAAAAATTTCATTGTGAGAATCTTTGTTTTCAAGTTCTGGAAATATGTGCATTAAAGCTGTTTATCTGTATTCTTCAATTCTTTAAAGAAACAAGTAACAATGAGCAGAGTAGAAGAAATAAACTGTAACAAAATAGGCACTAGGACACAATTTTATACTGAACTTTATGTGTTACCTGGTCAAACAGAGTACCACTATTACTGGAAAACCAAATAGAATTAATACTTAAGTAAAAACTAATCCAGTTAATTTCAGTGTCTACATTATAAGATGCCAAAGCATGTCAAAGATGTGTTTGACTTTGCATGATTTATTTTATAACTGAGTTTACTGACAGAAATATATTTGCATTACTAAAATATCTTTTGAAATAGTTATCATTTATAATATTTTGGGGAGGGCTAAATAGTTCTTTAAATTTGAGCTGATTTATTTAGCAATTATTTACATTTTGCTGTTAGCACATTTCCATAAATAAACTACAATTTCATTATTCTCACCATATACATGGCTATATATTACTATATAGCCTATAATTCATATATACACAATTCATATTTATAAACTATGTCCCTCAATGTGATGAAAAATATAGGAAAAAATAAAAATGAAAGGATTAAGATGTTACTTACAAAGTCAAAGTCTCCATCTTGAGGAACTTTCCAATTATCTGGAAAAACATTTTTGGACATAGGGAAGGATTCATGCATGTTCTGGTTGCAGTTTTCATGACTCTTATTCTTGAAGTCCTGCTTATCAAAGTAGTCCATGAAAGATGGTCTTTGTACTTGGGGTGAAGTTACGTTTCCTTAAGCAAACAAAGAATAGAGGGAAGGGATAAGCTGTAACATTTAAAGATGTATGATTTTATTGAAATGAGAGTTTTTGTTGAGCCAAATAATAAATTAGTACTGGTCAGACTCAAGGCCAACACAGTCAGTTCATAAAAACAAAGTAAAATGTATCTAGACCCAATAAATATCAAATTAATACTTAAAGATAGTCTTGGGCTATAAAAACACTTTAGAATTTTAGTGGAATCTTCATCATATTTTATTAAAAATCTTATTCAGTACACTTGAAATGTCAAAGATAATAATATTTTAAAATTATTTATTTAACAACCACATAATTAGAAGCATTTCATTACAACAGCATTGACATATTCAATAACAATTTCCAGAGCTAAAATGCATCTCTTTCAAAATTGGCTGTAAATTTTTAGGTTACAGTTGAATTAATACAGTTAGACAGTATGTACTTAGTATAAACCCTATAGGACATAAAATTGAACGAGGTTTTGGCCTTTAAAAAAGATCTCCATTTCATTATTAAAATACATGGTTTCATACAGAAAAATTCATTTTTAATGCAATTAACACTTAGATGTTTGCACATGCATCTCTAATCTCTATATATCTGATTATTACTAGTCACAGTTGGTGAGATCCTTGGCTCCTGAGCAAGGCTATAAAGTCATCAGGCAGATTTCAATGGTAATGTTATAATAAATTTGAAACACCCAAATGCCTATGTACATTTAAGTGTATGTTGTTCCTGTAACTATACACTATAAGCTGTAAGGAATTATAAGACTTACCCAGGCTTCTTTTTTTATCTTTCTGACTGTTTCTGTATAAGTCTTTCTAGTTGGTTTTCCTGCCCCTGGGCTTTAATGACTTTGCCCGTCATGTTTATGTCTATGTCTCCCAAAGCCATTTTGTCAGCTCAAACCTTGTCCTAAGCTGTATATCCAAGTTTACAACTGCTTGTTATTGTTTGAGTCACCAGTTAACTGCTACACTAAATGTGATAACTTTCCCTCTGAACCTGCAGCTTCTCCCATTGTTCTGTCTCTGCTAAGGGCAACTTTATTCCTCAAAATAATGCAGTTGAGAACTAATTCAGACTCTTCTTCCCCTTCTATCAAACTGACTGAAAGGTGTTTTTACATTTTCTCACAGAGTTGTTTAAATTCTCTGTCTTTTGCTACTTCAGTTTCTAACCTTTTTTCTCCCTATGGTATAAGAAAGGGGAGTAATGGTACAGCAGCCTCCAAACTACTCCCTGCTTCTGAGAAAACAATTTGGACTTTATACTGATAACACAATATCCTTTTTAAATACAAATAAACTATGCCATTCTTCTGCTTGGAATCCTCTGATGGATATATGTAGAAAATAAACATTTACAATAACTAGATTTTTTTTCTTTAATCTTGTGGTTAAGGCCTTGATCAGTAGTTTCTAAACTGCATTTCTTAAAGCTCCAGGCTCCAAAAGATGTCCCAGAGACCACCAAGACAGCATTTCCCATAGAATTTTCCAGATAGAAAGTAAGCTATCTTCTTCTTAAAGACAGACTGGAAGAAAGAAAGATTTTTTCCTTCTTAAAGGAATGGTCCAGAGGGGAGAAATTGAACTGGAAATAGAACTCTGTCCTGTACTTATATACATGTTCCAATTAAGTCCCTCTTTCATGTATTTGTCATTCAAATATCAGAAGACAAAGATGATAGTTGCTGCCTTGGCTGTCTGTTTTTCAGATGAAACAGCCTAAGTTCTGTTCATATGACATGTCTGTCAGACTCATGGCCATCCTGTTTACTTGCCAATGGGAACATTCTAGGCTTGCAATGCTATAAAACTTAGACAACAGTCAGAATAGTGAGCTAGAGAATCTAGAATAATGAATGCACTTGCCTTAGTACATAGTACAAACGCATGAATCAAAATTGATGTTCACTTTCTGTGATATACTCAAGAGTCTGAATTTCTCTAACTTAAGTAGGAGGGAACTGAGTCAATGGGTTTTTGTTTGTTTGTTTGTTTGTCTTTTTTTGTCTTTTTGAGACAGGGTCTCTCTGTAGTCCCAGCTGTCCTGGAACTCACTATGTAGACCAGGCTGGCCTTGAACTCAGAGGTCCGCCTGCCTCTGCCTCCCAAGTGTTGGGACTACAGGCATGAGCCACCATGCCTGGCCATCAATGGAATTCTTATGCAAGCATCCTACTACCTCCTTCCTTCTCTCGCTCCTAATCTCTGCATATTTATTTGGCAGATTTAGAGTGTTGGTGAATTTGCTCAGATGAGGATGTAAGAAAGAGGAACAGTGGAAGCAATTATTCATATAAAATATCCTATTACCTTAAAAATGGCATGTTTTTCCCTATCAAAACAGGATTTCTATTGACTTCATATTGGTAAGGCAAGTTTTTGGTGTTTTTTTTTTTTTAAACTGTGGTAAAATACAAATAACTTAAAATCTACCACTTCACTTCTAGTTATACATCTAAAAAACTGAAAGCAGGATCATGCAGACGTGTTTGTACATCTATATTCATTGCAGTGTTATTCACAACAGCTAAAATATGGAAGCTACTCAACTAACTGTTCATTGACAGATTAGATAAGCGAAACAGGAGGAAAGGGAAAGGAATTGGGTAATATAGCACAGTTGCATAACTGACACTTAAGTGGGAAATACATTCCACTAACAGTTCTAAAAAACTTTAAATACCTTTGATCTGTCTCTGGGCCTCATCATTACAAGACATATTTCTTATTTTCAGAGTTGAAATTTGATTCCTATGGTAACCTCTTATTACAAAATAGGGTCTACAAATTTAACCCAGCCTCAACTTCCAACCCACTTTATGAGACTAGAGGAAAGCAATACATTAAAGTATAGCTTAACTTGCACAAATTTCCTAGAAAACTGTCAAAGTGAGGTAGAGAGATAATATTTTGCTAAGTATTCCTCTCTTTTCTCATCTTCTTCCTCCTTCCCTCCCTTTCCCTTCATTGCTCTTACTACTTTTCCTTCTACCTAGAACTTCCTTCCTTGAATAGTGTGTGAGTATACATGTGCATATATATACATGTATCTAGGGAACAAATGCAGGACATCATATATGCTGGTATATGCTCTACCACTGAGCTATATCCCGCCTAAGAAGAGGAAATCGATCATTTTCTGATTTTCATCAGAAAGTCTTAATTTGGATCATATGCATAAAGATATTTGAAAAGTTTAACATGAACCATAATAAAGATTATTAATATAGGGAAGTCAGAATCAGGGAGAAGAAAATGATCTTGGGTGGGAGGCACCTAATTATTGGGAAAGTAAAACTTATGAAGAGTGGTCCAGGTTGGTTCTGCTCATGATCCTTTTGCCTCAGCCTCATGGGCGTAGATAGCGTTCTTTAAAAGGAAATTCAGAGGCTGGAGAGATAGCTCAGAGGCTAAGAGCATCTGCTTCTCCATCAGAGGTCTCAGGTTCAGTTTGCAGCATCTACATAGTGACTTACAGCTGTCTGTAACTCTAGTTCCAGGGGATCCAATGCCCATACATACATGCAAGGCAAAATACTCGCACACATAAAAAGAATTTTTTTTTTTTTGGTCTTTTTGAGACAGGGTCTCAAAAAGGCATGCACCACCACACCCGGCAAAAGAAATCTCTTTTAAAAATGTAATCCTAGCCAGGTATGGTAGTCCACACCTTTAATCCCAGAACTCAGGAGGCAGAGACAGGTAGATCTCCGTGAGTTCAAGGCCAGCCTGGTCTACATAGTGAGTTCAGGATAGCTGGGGCTACAGGGAGACCCTGTCTCAAAAGGGCAAAAAAAAAAAAAAAAATTAATCCCAGCACTCAGGAGGCAGAGGCAGATGGATCTCTGTGGATTCGAGGCCAGCCTGGTCTACCTGGCGAGTTCCAGGCCAGGGAGACCCTGTCTCAAAAAGACCAGAAACATAAAATTAATAATAATGATAATAATAATAATAATAATAGACAATGAGCATTTTCCCACTTACTATATCAAAAAGCTAAATTAAAATACAACTGTTGATGAATCTTTGGGTTTTTTTTTTTTTTTTTTTTTTTTTTTTTTTTGGTTTTGTTTTGTTTTAGGGGCTCTGTGTGTTTGTCTTTGAGACAAGGTCTCATGTAGCCTGGACAGTTCTCAAACCAGTTATGTAGCTGAAGATAACCTAGAACTTCTGATCCTCCTGCTTCCACCTCCAGAATGCTGGGATTACAGACAAACCACTATGCTGTGTTCTTTGATTAATCTTTGTATCATTTATCTGTATATAAGCAGGGTGATAGTTTTATGACAATTTTATCATATGTTAAATGATAATGAATGGAAAATAAACATACTTGTGAATTTTTTTAAGGGTGGGGGTAGAATTTTTAAAAAGTAACTTCAGTATGTATAAGCATTTGGTAAGACACAGAGCTATAAACACAGACAGACAGACAGACAGACACACACACACACATACACACACTGGCACTTCAAAACCATTGAAGTAAACAGTGCTCCCTGACCAGTGTTCCTTCTGGAATCTTCCTCCTCTCAACAGCAGGTCAGTACTACATTGCTCTCAATATTTTTGCTTTCACCCAGCACTGCTTCACTATGAATAGTCTGGTTGTGTTCCTCTTTGTGTTCTTCTAGGACATATGGAACTCTTCATTCCAGAATCCTTACCAGTACCTTACTGCTGCTATGAAACAGCTGGGGGAGGGGGTTTGATGCATTAGTGACTTTTTGTGTTTGTGGTGCTGGGAATTGAACCCAGGGCCTTGTACATGCTAGTCAAGCACTCTATCACCTACAACCACACCTCTAACCTACCAGAAACTAATTCAGACCTTTGTTATCTGAGAAAATTCACTTAAAACATAATAGGATTACTGGAAGGTTTATTTCTTTCTGTGAGAAACTAATAACAGAGCAGTGATCTGGTATGACGCACATACTAAGAGCAACACTACACACTGAGGAAGAGAAGA